GATCAAAAAGGGTTAATTGATGGGTAATTTAATTCTCCGTCGAATTGCCTTTTTTTGATTCGTTAATCTCAATTAGGAGGGGAGAGGTGAATTTTTAATTACCGGGAGTCACTGTGCGCCGCGAAACTATTATTTTTCTCACTGGCCCATGACTTTCATGGCAGTTTATATTTTTTTGTTACAGAGATTAAGGGATGAAAGAGGGTTAATTGATGGGGAATTTAATTCTCCGTCGAACTGCCCTTTTTTCATCCCTTAATCTCAATTAGGAGGGGAGAGGTGAATTTTTAATTACCGGGAGTCACTGTGCGCCGCGAAACTATTATTTTTCTCACTGGCCCATGACTTTCATGGCAGTTTATATTTTTTTGTTACAGAGATTAAGGGATGAAAGAGGGTTAATTGATGGGGAATTTAATTCTCCGTCGAACTGCCCTCTTTTCGTCCCTTAATCTCACTCAGGAGGGGAGAGGTGAATTTTTAATTACCGGAAGTCACTGTGCGCCGCAAAACAATTATTTTTCTTACTGCGCTGTGATTTTCATGACAGTTTCTTCCATTTTTTACAGAGATTAAGGGATGAAAGAGGGTTATTTGATGGGTAATTTAGTTCTCCGTCAAACAGCCTTTTTTTCATCCGGGAGAGAGAGAGAGAGTGAGAGGGAGAGAGAGCGAACGGCTGACGAAAAACCTCAAATGATTCTTTTTCTCGCATTCAGTCCGTGATGTTCACAGGCCCTTGCGCGCATGCACAAATGGTCGCAACAATGCTGTAGCGAGTGGGAACGAGACGGAGACTTCTCTCTCGCACAAAAGGTTCTCATTCCCGGCGACGGATTTACGGGTTGGAGCTAGAAAATTGCGTTTAACTTTGAATCCATAGGAAATTCCCGGGTACGATCAAGACAAAATTTGTGGTAAATGTTCTACTAAAAAATATGGAAGAAAAAAAAAATTCATCGATTCAATGTCAAGATATAAATAGCAACATATATATAATTCGCTCTGAATAAATAAACAAGCCATTGAAAAAAAACACTGATATTCCGAATTACAAAAAAAAAAATTCATCAACTTCAATTTTTTTAATGGAACACATTTTTTTTCCCATCTGATCTTCACGCGGCTCTCGGGAATGAACGGTTGGGGATAGGGGTAAAGTGTCTCAAAAATTTTTTGTGTAGAATTTTGAGCTCTACAACTTTGTATATTACATTTTTGGACGTACAGCGCGTTATTCACGAGTTATTTCGAAACAACGGTTTTCAGGGGTAGTTTATGGCTTTTTCAACCCCCGCACAAACTTGGGGAACCTAAAACATCTGCCATTAGTTTCATACGCCCAAATCACATATTGTATCAAAAATGGAGCCTGATTAGCAAACATTCGTATGTTAGACCTTCGTTCATTGGACTACTCCGGACTCAATCGACGCCGGAGAGCCGTTCGGGGTTTCTCCACGCTTTTGAAAATTCATTCCTCCGCTCCTACTTGAGATTAAGTAATGAAACCGCTGTCATTTATTGAGAATTTAATTCTCTATCGATCGNGGAGAGCCGTTCGGGGTTTCTCCACGCTTTTGAAAATTCATTCCTCCGCTCCTACTTGAGATTAAGTAATGAAACCGCTGTTATTTATTGAGAATTTAATTCTCTATCGATTGGCATCGGTTTCATTCCTTCATCTTAATTAGGGTGGGAGAAATGAATTCTCCAATCGGGAGAGCCCCTCCGGGCTCACTCGACGTCGGAAAGCCGTTCGGGATTTCTGCGCGCTTTTGAAAATTCATTCCTCCGTTCCTAACTGAGATTAAGAGATGAAACCGATGTCATTTATTAAAAATATAATTCTCAATCGGTAAGCTTTGTTTTTATTACTTCATCTCAATTAGGGAGGGGAGAAATTAATTTTTGAATGAGAAGAACTTGTTCGGAGTTACTGCGCGCTTTGAAAATTCATTCCTCCTCTCCTAATACAGACTAAGGGAATGAAACCACTGTCATTTATTGAGAATATTATTCTCGATCGATAGATGTCGCTTTAATTCCCTCTTCGCAATTAGGGGGGTGGGGTGGGGGGGTGTAGGATTCGAGGTTGTGGTTGTTCGGGAAGATAACGAATAAACTACGCGAGGCAACAGTTTGCAAAACTAGAGATTTAGTTTATCGTCGTGAATGCGGTATGTACAGATGATGAGTCGGTTGGTTGACTCGTTGAGTATTTGGCGGTTAGCGCCAGACTGAATATTATATCCGCGTCAGGTAAGAATTCGGATGCGAATACAATAGGTGCGAGCGAGAGGTATTTGATACTGGGCGCGTGACAGAGCGCGATGATGTCACCGATGTCCAGTCGTTTCTCAGCGTGTCGTATCCGTGCGTGTGTTACGCGTTGGTGTGTGTGTAGCGAGACGCTACATGACTCCCTGCTNTTGTTACGCGTTGGTATGTGTGTAGCTAGACGCTACAGGGGGGGGGGGGGGGAGAAATGAATTTTCTAATCGGGGTGCCTCTCCGCGCTCACACGATGCCGGAGAACCGTTCGGGGTTACTTCGCGCTTTTGAAAATTCATTCCTTCGCTCCTACTTGAGTAGGCTAGGATAGAATTTCCCGAAGATTCCAAAAAGCTTCATTGTTCTTCGTGCATGAAAAATGGGGATCTTCGGGAAACTCCTTGCGATCGCAAGTCTTTTACCGATTTATTTTTCTCCGTGTGACGTCCGTATAAAAGATCAAAAAATCAATTTAACAATGGGATAAATGGAGTAGTTAGAAAAGCGCGAATATCTTGGAAATTAGATGAAATTCATAGAAATTTTTAATTTGCAATGACGAAATTCCTTGAAATTCCGTATTACGGCAACGCGATAAAAATTCCCAATAAGTGTTCCCAGAATTTCCGCGAAAATATTACTGAAACCTACAGACATCATTCCTGAATTCAA